TGGAGGGTATTCCATATATACCTCAGAGAACTAAAAAGCAGCAAATCAAACAGCTAGCTGTACACCAGTGTTCATGGAAACATTATTCACAATAGCTGAAAGGTAGCAACAATCCATGTCTATAAATGTTGTATATACATATAATGGAATACTATTCAGCCTTTAAAATGAAATTCTTGCTGAGTGTGGTGGTGCATGCCCATAATCCCAGCACTCGGGAGGCTAAGGCAAAAAGATTGTTGCAAGTTCAAGACTAGCCTGGACCACAAAGTGAACTCAAGACTGGCCTAAACTGAATAGTGAGACCCTTTCTCAAAAGGACAAAAAATAAATAAACAAACAAATACATGAAATTCTGATGCATGCTATAATATGCATAAATGTTTAAGACATTATATTATGTGACATAAACCAGCCAACAGAACATATTATGATTTCATTTATGTAAAGTACCCAGAGTAGTCAAACTCAGAGATAAAGTAGGAAAGTTATTACTAGAGAATGTAAAGTAGGTGCGGAGTTATTGTTTAATGGATAAAATTACAAGGCTGGGGAGATAGCTTGGTGGTCTAAGCACCTTGCCTGGCAAGTGCAAGGACCTGAGTTCAATTTCCAGTACTACATGTCTTGCTGGCCCTGGAACCCCAGGTGTGCTGTGCTTGGCCAGGCATGGTGGCGCATGCCTGTAATCCTAGCACTGGAAAGGCTGAGACTGGAGGATCACTATGGGTCTGAGCTGCGTAGCAAAGACCCTGTACCAAACAAACAAATAATTTTTTTAATGGATAAAATTACTGTTTAGAATAATACAAGCTGGAAGAAATCATCACTCTTCCTCTTCCTGTGAGCAGCCTGAGGTGACCTGTGAAAATGGTTTGCTACTCTCTTGACCCAGAAAACCCCACAAAATCATGCAAATCAAGAGGCTCAAACCTTTGCGTTCACTTTAAGAACACATGTGAGGGCTGGGGAGATGGCTCAGTGGCATAAGCGCTTCCCTGGCAAGCACAAGGGCCTGAGTCCTGAGTTCAATCACCGGTTCCGCCAAAAAAAAAAAAAAAGACTGAAAACAAGAACACATGTGAAACTGCCCAGGCCATGGATACCTGAAAGGCATACCTGAAAGGCAACCAAGTATCTGAAGGATGTCACATTAAAGAAGCAATGTGTGCCATTCTGGCATTACAATGGTGGAGTTGGTAGGTGTGTCCAGGCCAAACAGTGGCCCCAAAAAGTGTTGAATTTTTGCTGTACATGCTTACAACTGCAGAGTTACACTGAACTTGAGTATAGATGTAGATGTAGATTCTCTGGGTATTGAGCGTATCCAGGTGAACAAAGCACCCTAGATGCACCACCATACTTTTAGAGCTCATGGCTGGATTAACCCATACATAAGCTCCCCCTGCCATAATGGGATGATCCTTACTGAAAAGGGACAAACTGATTCTAAACTAGAGGAGGAAGTTACACAAAAGAAAAAAATATCTCAGAAGAAGCTGAAGAAACAAAAAAATTATGGCATGGGAATAAATTAAGTATAAAATGCAAATAAAATTAATGCTGTTTGCTATTAAAAAAAATAAAATACAAGTTGGGCTGATGAGACAGTTCAGGGTGTCCAAGTGCCTGCTTGGCAAATGCCATGCTGGCCCTGCTCTGGGCATGCTGAGCCTGCCAGAGACTAGGCATGGCAGTGCACACCTGTAATCCCAGCACCGTGGAGGCTGAATGCAGGAAGATCACTATTAGTCCGAGCTGTGTAGCAAGACCCTGTACCAAATACATAAAAATTTTTTTAGAAAAGGAATAATAATGATCCTGTTAACAGTTGCTCAACAATGTTACCCAGTTAAACGATAGATTTTGTTATGAAGTTTTACAAAAGTGTGTGCATTGTCTATTTTACTATGGTGGCAGCATAGCAAAGAGGTTAAGAATACTGTACAAGCTTAAGAATTAGCTTGTCAGGGCTGGATAGATAGCTCAGTGGCATAAGCACCTGCTTGGCAAGCACAAGGTCCTAAGTTTGATCCCAGTACCGCAAAAAAAAAAAAAAAAAAAAAAAAAATCAGCTTGTCTAGTTTCTTTCTTTTTTAAAAAAATATAAACATTCAGATGCTGCAGTTCATTTTATTTATGTATGTTTTTTGGGTTTTTTTTTTCAGAACCGGGGATTGAATTTAGGCCCTTTCGCTTGCCAGGCAAGTGCTTATTCTACTGAACTATCTCCCTGGCCCCCCAGCTTGTCTAGTTTCAACCCAGCCTTGCCACCTTAGAGCTCTGTAACCTTTGGGCAAGTAATTTATTGTCTTTACTGTTTTCTCTGTTAATAACAATATATGGTATAGGGTTAGGGTGAGAATTAACTGTATCAATACATATAAAGTGTTTAAGATAGTGCATACCATGTAGTAGCAACTTTGTTATTGTAAGTTTAAAACACATTTTAAATTATTTTTTAAAATGTACTTAGGCCAGGGAGATGGAGATAGCTCAGTAGAATAAGCGCTTTCCTGGCAAGCGCAAGGGCCTGAGTTCAATCCCAGGTTCCTCAAAAACAAAAACAAACAAAATATATATTTAGTACAGGGTCTACAGGGTCTCACTACAGAGATTGGATTCGTAGTGATTCTCCTGTTTTCAGCCTCCCAAATGCTGGGATTACAGGCACACACTACCATGCCCAGTCTCAATTACCCTGGGGCTTGGGACTAGCAGAGCCTGCCTGGGATCTATCTTGGTAGCTGTGTTTGGCCTAGGCAGGCGCTTTAATGCGCTGAGCTACCTGGCCAGCCCTTTAAATTCGACTTAGTGTGCGCAGTACTAGAGATTAAATCTAGGATCTTGTGCATGTGAGGTACATGTTGTACCACTGAGATCGCCCTTAAATGAAATTTAAATCAAACATCTGCAGAACCTCAGAAACTCCTGTCCAAAATTCTTAAAACTGGTAAAATAGTTTGAAAACCGGTGATGTAATCCAAACTTTCATTTAATAAAGGAATTAAGAGTCCAAGTTATTTGCCTGAGGTCACATTTCTTATTTCATTAATTTTCCTAAAATAAAGAGTTTAGGATTAACACTATGTTGCCATTCAATTACTTCCAAACTAAATCAAGTCATGGAGATTTTATAATGTGGTTCCAGGAATCTGAATAGTGTGATAGTTACCTAAGTTCCTAATCTAATAAATATTTATTGATGAGGTCGAGGTCAAAACGTAGTAAAATCAATAGAAAAAATTCATCATAATTATCCGCAAAACAAAACACCTAAAAACACCGCTTCAGAAAAATGTGATAAATTTAGTAAGTGCCCACTACTCCTTTCAGCCTGTTATTGAATATATACTCTTAGACCTGAGTCTGAAAAATAAGATGCTGCTTCTGCCAAGTAGAATAACAGGGGAAACACCTACAAATAACTCTATTAAATTCAAACAGAAGAGCTGCTGGCCAAGTAACACAATGTCTAATGCAAAAAATCATGTGTTAAGCTCTGCAGACATTTGTGCACTTAAACAGGATTAAATCAGGTTTCTGAGAAACTGATGACACAAAAAGCAAAATAACGGAGACAATTTGAAGGTCAGACTCCATAAAGGCTAGAAAGCTTTTGAGTGTTTTTGCCCCTCCCCCAAAGGCCTTCCGGCTCCCTCCAGCCCTCAAAAGATAGGACCACCTCCTTGTGGAATGTCTTGCTATCCCCTATCTACATCTGTTGAAAGCCTACCCATCCTTCAAGGTTCAACTTAAATGTCACCCAATTGCAGGGATCTTCCAATTCCCTCCACTAGAATCCATAATCTCTTCTTCAGTTGCTTATTCTACGCCATTTGAACATTGTGTTATATAATGCACTGTATTATAATGATCTATATTCACTTCTCATCCACTGCCCCCAAGAAAAATCCTCAGATAGCAGTGGGAAATGAGGAAAATAATTAACATGCGTTAAACACTTTCAGTGCTAAACTAAATGACCAATTTTACACACATTATCTCATTTAACCTGCTGGACGGTAATCCGGGAGGTAAACAGGTGGCGGTATTCCTGTTTCCTGAGTCAACTACAGCGCAGAGTTCAGTAGGTTCTCCACTTTCACGTTAGTAGCCAACGCCAGGGTGCAAGGAACGCCGATTTCCCAGCTCCAAAGGGCTCCTTCACCGCCCCATGCTGCAGATCTTGTTCACTTTGTGTCCCCACCCTGCCTGACAGGGAGTAGACTGGAGGTATTCCACAGATGTTTACCTCGCGGACTCAACACCACCCTTTATCTACCCTGATCACGCCTCCCTTCACCCCCACCTTTCGTTTCCTTCCCTTTCCAGCGGACTCCGCAGAGCCCCAAGAGCAATACTGCACACACCAGCCTTTCCTGGGAGCCTGGGTGAAATCTGCCCAATTGCACAGAAATGTAACATACAAGTTACACGGAACATGCCATCCTCACAAGCTCCTGTTTCATAACGAGCTACGTCTTGAGCTTACAGGCTGCAAGACGCATGCAGTTTTCAGCGTTCACTGAGAGGTCACCCTAAAACGCTCTCTGGATAAGAACAGCACATTTTCCAGACTGGTCTTAACACGAAGGCACCGCCACCACCACACCGCCTCTTCCCTCACTACTCCACCCCTGAACGGCAGTTTGGATTTCCGGCGGGAACGAACGCGGGAAGATGAGATAGGGCGATCCCTCAGCCTGCTTAATTGGAAGACCAGAGGCGCGCTCCCGCCCGCCTTCCCAAATCTCGACCCCGAACTCCAGGAACCGCACCCCGCCCCCGGGCAACTCCTCCCCCGAGGCCTAGGCCCCCACCTCCCCGCACCCCGCTTTGTCTCCTAGGCCAGCGCACTGCGACCCCCCGCGGGTCGCCTCGCTGGGCAGCGACCCCGCCCCAGGCCGGGCGCGCGCCGGGAAGATGGAGGCGGGAGCGCCTCGCGGCCCCACGCTGGCAGCCGCCTCCGCGACCTGAGGGTGAGAAGCAGGGCTCACCGCGGCGGCCGCTCGCTCGTCCGGCGGCCCCGACTGCCGTCGCCTCCACCTCCTCCCCAGGCGCGGCGCTCCTGCCCCGGACCCGCAGCGAGCGCCAGCGGCTCCTCACTGGCTGACAGACTGACTGACTGACTGCCGGCGGTGCGGGCAGCGAAGGCTGAGCCCCGAGCGGCCGCGGCCGGCGGAGACGCAGAGGGCGGGGCCGGAGCCGGGCGGCCGCAGCGCGGACAGACTCCCGGC